AAAAACATTTCTAGGCGGAAGCTGTAGTTTTTGAAAGGTGTTGAAAATTTGTCTGGCCACTTTGAAATAATATAACTAATGTCAGCTGTTTAATAGTGTGTCCCATAGTTCTTCTTCTGTAACGGCTATCAATTTGTTGTGATCAGCATTTAACAACCCAGCAAAAACAACTCAACTAATAAGGAGACGTAAAATCAGATGCAAACATCTTTATTCTCAACAAATTAAGAGGAACACCAACATGATATATTCAAATCAACATATAAAAATTAAAATGTCCACTATCACGATTGCCAGGATTTCTCTAATAAAGTCACTTGATGAGAAATTAAAGTTCAACTGTACTGTTTTTAACAGAGACCAATTCAGTTACAGTTCGCATTCAGAGTTTTTAAACCACATGAGTTGAAGTTTAAAACCAGACAAAAGATGAATAATACAGCAAAGATCAAATGTTTAACACATATACTTATCGACATCGAACTGTTCAGTCTGTACAGAGATGAGATCAGTTCCCGGTAAATCCAAAGATTGCGAGCTTGTTTTTGATGGCTTTACGAATGTACGACAGACGCAGTGACATCATGATTGGGTTGACAAGAGACTGGAGATGTACAAGTGTAACACAGATAGGCACGGCAACGTACTTGAAATCGCTCGTCACATCTTTACCCTTTACGACTTCTATGACTGTGACTACAACGAAAGGTGTGTAGAGGAGAATCGACACAACCACAAATACGGTCATCATGAACACTCGCTTGTATTCGTCGAGTTGTTGTTGTTGTTGTTGTTGTTGTTGTTGTTGTTGTTGTTGTTGTTGTTGATCGTCGGGCTGTTGGACTGATTCTTGCTGCAGGGCGATGGCTCTGCTCTGACGGTAGGCAGTTAGTTGGACTTTGAATGTGCAGTACAAAATGACCAGTGCACAGATGCTTATGACTAGCATCATTGGAACCTTGAACAGGATGACATAGTTTGTGGTCATGAAGGCGCTGGCAGTCAAATAATAAGCAATGATTCCTATCCATGAGATTATGGTTACTTGCAGGACTTTTTCTCTTGTGATGTTGTTGAGGTAGTAATTTGGGTGTTCTATGGCTAAATACCTCTCGGCACTTGCTATAGTGTAGGTCACCATCGTCATGCCAGTGCAGACCAG